TTTTTTTTTTTGTGACAGCCAAATGGGTTGTGTTAGGAGCTACACCTAAAATGTTGCTCCATCCATCTCAGAGGCCCTGTTTGGGAATAGATGCGTTTTTCAAACTTCTAGAAAGGGGAGTCTATCAGCTTGCCAGGGGCTTCTAGAACTAGGTGCCCCAGGCAGGGGGCTTAGGCAGCAGAAGTGGGTGGTCTCCCAGCTCTGGAGGCCAGAAGTCCCAACATCACGGTGTTGGCTTACAGATGGCCGTCCTCCCCCCTGTGTCCTCGTGTCGTCGTCCCTATGAGTGTCTGCGTCCTGATCTCTTATAAGGACACCAGTCATAATGGATCAGGGCCCCCCCATGTGACCTCATGTTAACATACGGACCTCTGTAGAGACCCTGTCTCCAAATACAGTGGCATTTTGAGGTACTCGGGGTGAGAGCTTCAACGTACGGATTCCAGGGGACACTGTTCAGCCCTTAATGGGGGGATATGAAGTGCTCCTCCCCCTCCTCCCGAGTGTGGCTTTCTAGAACCCTGCTGTCCGTAGGCACCGTCGAGCTGGTGTGTCCTACTAAATCGAATGCCAGTGCTCACGGCTCACAAAACGGCTTAATATTCTGGCTCAGCCCCACTGCTTCCAGGCCGGGGCTAGTTTCAGAATCGCCGTTTTGATGGAGGTGGTTTCCCAACGGGGGAAAGAAATAATTAAAACAGCATTACCGTGGTTCCTACGGATGCAGTGACATTAAAGATCCACGTTGACAAAATAGCCAAGGCTGGAAGGTTCCATGCTGACTTCATCACACGCCTAGAATGCCAGCGTCCTGAAAGCTGTGGAGACCAGTCGTCTGGCCCCGTTCACAGGCAGGCTTGGCGGGGGTGATCCCTGGGGGCCCAGGGGGCTGAAAGGGGGTAGGAGTGGGGACACGGGATTTGGAAAGCACACGACCTCGGGGTTTTCAGCCCAGACAGGCTCCGCACCGCAAAAGGGAGGAAATTGCCCTGGAAGGCAGGGGGGCTCCGCGTTCCCAGGCGACGAGCCCTCTTCAAGCCCTGTGTGTTTCTGGTCGGAGGGTAAGAGGGATACTAAGATCCGGGTCAACTATGAACAGGCACCTTGGCCTCACAGTGCTGACTGCTGAAGGTCGTGGGTCCGGCAAAAGATGTCATCTCTCCAAACCGGTTTTATTCGAGTTGGATCAGGGGGGTGGAGGTGCCTTCCGCACACCTGTAAGGGGCCCTGGAGCTGTATGCACTTCATTTCCCTCCCTTCCCCGTCCAGTGAGAATCGGAGTTGAAAGCATGGCCTGGACATTTGCACGGTTGAGGGGGGAGGGGTGCAGATGTGAGGCGGAGGGCAGGGCCACCTCTGGGGATGGTCCCCCCTCCTCTGATCAGCCCCATTGGCCACACTGGGGCATCTTCTTGGGGTGACTTGGGCAGCAGAAGCAACTTTCCTTAATCCCGGAAAGTTCTAGAACCCTTCCTCAAGTGACCCACATTTTCAGTGAATTGTGTTTCCGTGAAGGAGGCCCCTCCACAGGAACTAAGGAAAAGCCAGCTCGTTTGCACCCGAGCGGCGATGGCTCAGGGTCTCCGGGGCCCAAGTGCGGGGTCGGGCAGGGGTGGTGAGCTGGTCACCTTTGATCCTTCTCCGAGTGGCTTTTGTTCGCGTCCTCCACCGGCCACGGGGAAGCCGCCTGCAGCTTCATTTCCCTTGTGACAGCCGCGGGGTGTCCTGTAGGCCGAGCCCCGTGTGCCCCAGTGTCCTAACTGCGTGTGACAGAGAGCTGTGTTTTAAAGGAACCAGATGCTTTTTTCAGCCCCTTCGTGTGCCAGTGTTTCACAGTCTTTTTAATTGTTTGAAGCCGTGTCTGTTTTGGGTTTCTGGATATTCAAGAAAAGCCGCTAAAACCCTGGCTGTGCTGTTATGCTGCCCGCCTGGCTGGCCGCGGGAAACTGAGGCTTTTCCTGAGTGCCGCTGGCCAGCACCCTCTATGCAAACCTGATCTGTCCTAAGCCGGAGACTCAGTCAGGAGGGTGCCAGGAAGTGCCAACAGTGTGCTGTTATTTATTCCAATAAAGAACTTGAGAGCGTGGGGCCGTCCGCTGCTTGTGTCTGGTTTTTCTCTCCTGCGCTTAGGGGTCATCGGTTCGCGCCAGCCCGGTGCTGGGGGCTGGGACACACAGAAGCTCCAGGAGCTTCCGATCGGACCGGGCCTGCTGGACAGCGGCGCTGTCTCAGGGGGTGGTGGCCTTACGCTGCAGGGCGAGGGACCCGAGTGGCCCTCGACGGTGGCCAAGGGCTCGTGCTCCACGCTGGCCCTGCTGTGAGCCTTCCCTGCAGAAGTCACGGGGTGATTCGGGCACCTCGGAAAGAATCCCCGATTGCCACCCCAAAGAACCCAGGCTTCGGAGAATTGCCTGGTCCAAGCCCGCTTTGTTCCCATGTGACTGCTGGCTGGTTAGTTCTCCCTCGCTTTCCACGGTGGGAACGTCCCTCCAGTTTCCCTCCCTAAAGAGCCACCTTCCTTCATCCAGGTTCGGTTTTGCCTGTAACTGGGGCCGCTGTAGTTGCTCGAGGCAGAAAGGAATCGAACGCAGGAAATGAGGTGACCCCAGAGCCACGGGAAGGCTGGCGCGGCAGGCTGGGGACAGACCCCCACGGAGGATGCTTCGAACCGCACCGTGGTGCCCGCCGTCCCTGCCGTGACCAGGAGGCTGCTGAGTGGCTGCTGCCCCGCGGTTTCAATTTCGAGCCGGATACTTTCCGTCCGCCTCTCCAGATAGATGCCTCTCCAGCGTTTTCCGCGCTGGCTTCACGGACTGCGTCCGTGCGCTGCCTTGCCTCTGGCTTCTGTTTGGACTTGGCCGGTGGGAGGCCCCGGCAGGAGGGAGCGTGGGGGAGAGTGAGCGAGGTCGGGGGGTTTGTACTCCAGGGCCGCCCCTCTGCGGGGCCACCGGGGTCGGAGGGCCCCTCTACCACACCCCTGGCTGGCGGATCTGTCTCTCTGGGCTCTGGTGTCCACTCTGGCCTCTGCCCCGTCGGGCCCTGGGGTCGTGATAACTCGCTCATGTCGCTAGTCTTGGGCTGTGGCACTGTCTCTTCTGTGTTCCCTTAACCCGGCCCCGGTAGGCGCTTTGTCCAACACGCTTCAGTTTCCCTGCGTGGATGGGCCATCTCTGCCGGGACGTGGCGGTGCACCTGGCCCGGGAAGCAGGGGACGCAGGGCCACGCCGTGCCCGCCACACCTGCCCCAGCAAAGCGTGCAGCTGCCCGTCCCCACCATGCTGCAAACTGCCTCTGCCTCTTAGGCTGGTACCTCTGTGAGCAGCGACAATAGTACCTGCCTCGGAGGCTGGTTCCAGCAAACTTAAAGGCCTTAAGGGGCGCCTGGGTGGCTCAGTCCACTGAGCGTCGGACTTCAGCTCAGGTCGTGATCTCACGGCTCATGAGTTCGCCAGCTCCCCGTGGCGGGGAGGTGGGGGTCCCTGGCCTCAGTGGCTGGCTTGGCTGGTGCTGCCACTTGGAGATGGGGAGACCACGAGGGACTGCTGGGGTTGCGAGGCGGGGAGGGGAGAGGGAGAGAGGGAAGAAACTGCGAGGCATCTGAGGGCCCGGAGGTGTGGCTGGGTGGTTGGCGCTCGGGGGGCAGAGCTTTCCGTCGGGGCCGTGGAGGCACCAGGCCCTGAGGCCCAGCGAGGAGGAAGCTCCCTGCAGACGCAGCCCAGCAGGCCCTGCGGAAGCCGCAGGCCCGGAGGAAGTGAGCAGCTTGGGGGGTGGGGGGTGGGGG